CTGCAATTTGGTGTCCGTGTCCTGCCCAGGGCTGGGGCGGGGGTCGTTTCGGAGCCAGGATCCAGCCAGGGGAGGATTTGAACCCGTGACCATCCAGCCCTGCAGGGGGAGAGCACCCTCTGCTGAGCTGTCTTGCTGGGGCAGGGGTGGAATTGGTGAGACTCTGGCTAGGGGGGAAACCCACTGTCTGTCCAGCTCCGCCCCTCCCCCGCCCCTGCCCCCCCACGGATTTACCAAGCAATCCTATTAGCAAATCGGCTGTTAATCACCTCAGGGCCCCAGGCAGCAGGAGACCAAACACAACTGGCTTAGCCAGCACCAAGTGGTGGGGACCTGCTCTGGCCCCGCAAGAGGCCATGCCCCACATAGATGGGGGAGACCCCGCCCCCACCCTGTCCTCCAGTACCCCTCCCCACACCGTCATCTGGCCATCCCTCCCAGAGCAAGGCCAGACTGTCCTGCCTGCCCTGCCGTGCTTCTCGGGGAGTGGGGGAACCGTTCCCTCAGACACCCTGTGTTTGTCTTGGGGCCCCACCTCCAGGGCAAGCCCATCCTGTGGGTGGGTGGGTGCTCCCTGTGACCAGGGTGGGGGTGGGGAGTGCCTCCTGCCTCACTTTCCCCACCATGCTCGTGAGCTGGGGGTGGGAGGCAGCTGCTGCCCCCTCTTGGCTTCACCCTGGTTGCTGCAGCTGTGCCCCCCCCACCTGGGAAAGGAGGCAGCTGTCCATCCCCATCGCCAGTGCAGCTGTTCCCCCCCCCCCCCCCCCCCCCCGCTATTTATAGCCAGCTGGTGATGTCACCGTTTCCTCCGCGCTCTCCATGGTGTGAATTGCTGGAGCCGCCGGCTCAGCCTTGAAGCTGCCGGGAAACAGCTCCTGCTGATCCCCCTTCCCCTGCTGGCTCCCTGGCCCCCTCCCTCCCCTGCGCCCAGCGCCAGCTCTGCAGGGAGCTTGGCATCGCACTGCTCAGCTCTCCCTGGCCCTTCGTCAGCCGCCAGGCCAGCGCTGCAGAGCTCGCCGGGCCCTGGAGCCGTGCACAGGCTGGAGGCGATGGGCCGGGGCGCTGGCATGCGGGGGGCACGCGGCTAGGAGGGGGAGCCCGCAGGCAGCTGGGAGCTCCCAGCATGGACAGCTGCAGAATCGGCAAAGTGAGTGCCAAGGAGACCTGGGGTGCCCGCTGAGACGCTGCAGGGAGGGAGCTGGGCTGGTGGGCTCGGGGGGCAGGCGAGACCCAGAGAGGCAGGCTGGGGGTGATGCAGAGGGATGGGAGAGCCAGACCGGGTTGGCGGGGAGATGGGGCAAGGCCAGGGGGACACGGGCATAAACGCATCTACAGGCTCCATGGGGCGGGGGGATGCCACTCCACCCCCAGCCACGCTGCAGGCCTGAAAGAGCATCTGCCAGGCCCTGCGCCTGCCCCAGCATGGAGGGCTCAGCGCCTCAGGAGTGGGGAGCAGATCTGCCCTGGCTGGGGCTGGATCCCAGGGGTTGTTCCTGGCGTGGGGCCGTCCCTGCATCTCCTCCAGGGGCCTGCTCAGCCTGTGCCCATCCCTGGCAGTCTGGGAATCACCCCTGGCTGGAGGTTGGCACCTGGCGGGCAGGGGCTGGGCTGGGCCCTGGGCAGGGCTGGAGCAGACGCCTCCTTGGGTCCGCCCTGGCGTGTGGTGAGGGTTGGCACACCTTGCAGCAGGGCGGTGCCCGTGGGCGGGGAGGAGGCCTGTCTTGCCTGCTGGCCGGTTGGGGTCCTTTCTCCCAGCGTCTGGCGCACTGCTGCTGGAAGTGGGGGCTCGGTGCCTGGAGCGCTGCGGGGTGATGGCACGTGTGTTTCACGGGCCTGTGCCCTGCCCCGACCCCTCGGCTGAGGCAGGTGGGCGTGAGTCTCTTGCCCAGCGGGAGCTGAGGGGGGCAGCGTTGCCCTGGGGGGGTTGCAGCCCTGCTCTGTGTAGCAGGGAGGAAGCTCGTGCCAAGGTGCAGCCCCCCCACGGCTCCAAGGTAGGCACCGTGTCTGGGGCAGACAAGGCTCCGGCGGTGGGGCTGATTTTCTCCTCCCCTCTTCAACAGAGATGGGGAGACATTAAATCTAGGAGCTTGAATTCCTCATCCCCCCAGCAAAAAGTGTGAGAGCACCTGGCGGCCCCATGGCCCCCAGGGGAGCTGGGCGTGATCAGCAGGGCAGTCACTGAAGGGGGTGATACTGGAAGTGTTCCCACGGGTGCAGAGTGAACACCCTGGGGAGGTGAATGAGGCAGCTTGGGTGTGTCTGGGCTGGTTTCTCATCAGGGCAGCTCACCCTCTGGGGGGGCGATTGTGCAGCTGTTCTCTGCAGGCCTGGCTTATGGGGCGCGCTGGGGGGAGTGTCCATCTGGGAGGGGGTTGGTGCTCTTCTGGATGGGTGCTCTGGGGACTCGGGGCAGCTGGTGTTACCCTGTTGGGACTGGGGCTGCTGTGGGGTGCTGGGTCATGGGGTGGGGAGTGCTCAGTGACCTGGAACTGGGGAGTGTCTAGACTTGCTTCCAGCCCTACAGGCTCCCCCCACCCCGACCCTCTTCTCAGTGACTTAGGAAATGGGGAGAGACAGATGGGACCTCTGGCCCCAATTCTTTCTCCGGCCCTGGGTTGCTGCATTTCCTAGCTGTGCCGGGGGCTGGCAGGGGACTGAGGAACGGGGGCCGATGAATAGTGGCTTAGCAACCAGTGTTTATTTCCGGATGGCAGCACAGGATTTGTGAAGAAGAAAATTGCTCCCCCACAACTCTGCTGTTGGGGGCAGGCTTTGGCGGGTGGTGGGGGCCTGCGGCCTGCTGTGTTTTCCACCACCACTAGAGCTTGGCGCTGGGGTGCCCAGGACCTGGTGGACTCGGGGCGAGTGGGGGGAGGGGGTGCTGTGTCTCGGCTGGGCGCTGTCGGTCGCACGCGCCTCCCTGGGTCGGGTCCTGTCCCATCCCGTGAGACTGCAGGTGTGGGCAGGGTCTGGTTGCCTGCCTGGCACAGGGCAAGGTCTGGGCCATGTTGCTTCCAGGGGAAAGTGGGCGTCTGCCAGGCCCCACCTATGGACGTAGGGCTGCAGGATGTAGGGCCATGGGGGCTGTGCAGGTGGCTCCCCCATTGCCACGTATGGGGGCTGGGCGGGGCATGTGCAGGGGCATTGACCCAGTGGGCCCTCCTAGTTTCCCCCCCGTGATGGGACCAATGGGCCCCCCAAGTCCCTTGCCCCCACCCCCACCCCCGGCCGGTGTCCGGCCATGATGCCACCACCGCTGGGATCCTGCTCCCAGGCCTGGCGCCCACCATTCAGGACGGGGGTTGATAAATTGGGGAGGGGTCAGAGAAGAGCCACGGGAATGACCGAAGGGTTCGAAACCTGCCCGACAGTGAGAGACTCTGGGAGATCAGTCGAGTTGGCATCACGGAGAGCAGGCTTGGGACTGCCTTGATCCCCGGCTGCAGGTACCTGCATGGGCGGCTCTGTCCAGCTGAGAAGGGTCGGACACGCCGCAATGGCTGGGAGTTGTAGCCAGCCTGGCAAGAAGGGGGCCATTTGCAGTGGTGTGAGCAATGAGCCCTCGGACCCGTAGCCCCTGGGGGATTCTCCATCCCCAAGCCAGACTGGCTGATTTCCTGAGCACTCTGTTGCAGGGTGACTTGGGGCAGGTCTCAGGCCTGGGCTGTCTGCAGGGTCAGACTGGGTGAGCACAAGGGTCCGTCTGCTGCTCAGCCCGGCCCTGCCATGGCACCGAGGCCAGACCCCTCCCAGATGACAAGTCCCAGCGTTGCCTGGTCCTGTCTTTGTGTTGGGGCTTCCACGCCGCCCTCCTGCTGGGAGGGGCCCAGGCCACCCCCTGCTCTGGGTTAGCCAAGGCGGCTCCTGGGGCTGCTTCCCGGAGCCTCCTCCCGCCTCCCAGCCCTTGTGCTGGTTCCCAGGAGCCTGTGGCTCCCCCCTGGGACCTGCCAGCTCTGCCCTGGGACACTGGGCCCTGCCCCTCCCTGTGGCCGGCTTCAGGCTGCCTTTCCTGGGATCCCTGTCTCCGCTCTCTGCCCTGGCCCTGCCACGGCTGGGCTCTCCAATGGGAGTTTAGCTGCTGCCTGGGAGAAGGGGTGGGTTCCTTCCTGACCCCAGGGCCCTGCCCTGGTGCCCTGGAGCCTGGGTGTGGACTCCCCCCTCGCGCTGACATGGCTGCAGCTCCAGACCCGCTGTGCCCTCCCCACCCCTGCCCCTGTGACGGGTGCCCCATGCTGGCTCCCTGGGTGGTTCCCCTGAGCTGGCAGCCGGGGTCCTGTTGTGTGCCCGGGTGGCCTGGGGCTGGGCCTGTTGCTCAATTCCTTGTGGGGGCAAGGGGGCACTGTACAGGTTGTCTCTGTATGGGCAGGGTCTGTGGCCTCCTGAGTCCCCCAAGGAGCCCCATTGTGCCAGCCGTGCCCCTCCGCTGTGTCTGTGCTGGACAGGTTGTGCTGCCCTGCCGTGGGGCCCCGTTGGCTGACGTCTCCCCCAAGCCACCCGCACACCCGACAGCAGGGCCTGGCTCCGCCCTGGCCCATCTGCGGGGTGATCCGTACCCCTCGGGGCTTGCAGCTCCCCAACCCCAGGGCTGGGTGTCCCAGCCCCTCCCATGGGGGATGCCTCCCCAGCTGGGGGGTTCTGGGATTCAGCCCCAGGCACCCCTAGAATCCTCCCAAACCTTTGTGGGCCTGGCCCCCAGGTGCTGCATGGTCCAGCTCTGCATGTTTACTCCCCAACCCCTCCCCCTCCCCATGGTGTACACAGCTGCCTTACCCCTCCCTTGCCCACTCATGCCCCAAACCCCCGGTGCCTACAGCCCCCCGGACCCCACCCCCAGTGCCCACTGACCCCATTAACTCTGGCCCCGCTCCACTGGCCCCCACCCCACCTCCCTTGGTGCCACCAGCCCCATTGGCCCTGCCCCCCCATTATCCCTAGCCTCAGTGGCCCCATCTCCCCTCCCCTGGTGCCTCCAGCCCCGCTGACCCCTCCCGTCTCCCCAGGACACTGACATCCAGAAGAAGATTGACCATGAGCTCCGGATGCGCGAAGGCACCTGCAAGCTGCTGGCAGCCTGCACGCAGCGGGAGCAGGCCCTGGAGGCAACCAAGAGCCTTCTGGTCTGCAACAGCCGCATCATGGCCTACATGTCTGAGCTGCAGCGCATGAAAGAGGCGCAGGTCGCGCAGCGGACGGCCCGGCGGTGAGGAGCCCGTGAGCGGGCAGAGGGACCTGGGGACGGGGGCTGGGGGGCGCTGGGATGCGGGAGTGGGGAAGCCACGCGGCACCGGATGCTGGTCACAGCTCTGTGCTTCCCCTGCAGCCCCTCGGACGCTGGCCCCATGGACGATCGCTTACCCTGCAGGGGAAAGGTCTGTGTGTCAGGTAAGGGGAGTGGGTCTGTGCCCCATGGCTGGGGGGCGGGGGCAGCAGGTCTGCAAGGAAAAGAGACCAAACTCCCTCAGAGAGTGATTAGTACCAATGCTGGGGAGGTGCCAGCTCCCAGAGCCGGTGCCCAGGGCCCCGCAGCTCCCCTGGGAGCCCCGAGCTGGGACATCGGCTGAGAGCAGGAATCCTCTTGCGGTGAGTCTGGGCAGGGCAGGCCCAGCGCAGGGCCCTGCTCCGGGGAGCAGCCCCGACACAGGGCGCACCCTCCCCTGCCTTCCCCCTGAGAATCTCCCCCGGGGAGCTCGCAAGGGGGCCCACTGAGGGTCGAGCCCTCAGCCTGCAGAAGGGTGGCTTGTGGGTGAAGCGCTAGGCCCCTAGCGGGGGCCGGGGGCAAGACCGCTGCTTTGCAGGCTGCTTTGCAGGGGGAGGGGTTCTGGTTTGGGGGGGCACACAGTATTCTGGCGGTTGGGGGACTGGCCTGGGACATGGGAACCTCTGCTCTGCCCCACCCCATGCCTCCCGCCGGGCCGCAGACTCGCTCACGAGCAGAGCCACTTTCTGCTGCGAGGGCTGCTGGGACCAGAGCTGCCACGGTGCGGCCGTGGGGACAGCTGGGTCTATGGGACTCTGCAGCTTGAGGCGGCAGCAGAGCCCGGGGCTGAGGGCATCCTGGTCCAGTCTCGCCAAGGCCCAGCGGTCCCGGTCCGAGGCCCAGGACGCCCCGTGGCTGGCTGCCCGCTTGCTCATGCTCCCCAGGGGCTCTGCTAGTGGCAGGGTCCCTAGGGGTCCCGTGGGTCAAGGGCTGGCGGAGGAGCACTGCCGTGCCCACTGGGCCAGCTTGTCCCGTGCCCCGAAGGCTTGGTGCTCCGGCTGGGCGCCACACTCTCCTCGGGGCCCTGCACATGGTGCCAGAGCATCACAAACACAGCTCAGTCTGTTTTGTGGGGGGCTGCGGGGTCAATGGCCTGGGACCCTCCTGACCTGTGGCCGCGTCCCGGCCCTGCAGACCGGTCCCCGCTCCCCGCGGCCGCGTCCCGGCCCTGCAGACCGGCCCCCGCTCTCTGCCTGCCTTCAGTGCGCTCATCCCTGCTCCAGGGAGTTCGCCCACCTTGGGTGCCAGCTTGCCCAGGAGACGGGGAGCTCCCCGGGGAGAGGCGCCCAGCTACGGCGGGTTTCAGTGTCAGTTCGAGCCCGTCTGGGAGAGCCGGGAAAGGTGACTCCCAAGCGGGCAGCATCTCTGGGGGGCATTTAGGGTGCTTCTGGCCCTAAGCTTTGGTCTGGGGAGCAGCAGAGGACAGGAAAAGAGGAGGGAGCTGCTGAGAGTGAGGGGTGGAGGGAGCTGCCCCCGAGGTCGGCTTGGGGGTCACTCAAAGGCCCAGCGAATCTGCATTGTGATTCAGACCTGTCCTGTGCCCCCCAGCGCCCACCCCATGAGCACTCTGTGCCTCTTTCCTCCCCCCCCCCCCCCATTGGTTGCCTTCCCCAGCTGTCTGGCAGTGCGGTGGGTTCGTTGCTTTCCCAGTCCAGCCCCGCTGCACCCATCTCTCCTCCCTCCCCAGATCTCCGGATCCCCTTGATGTGGAAGGACACGGAGTATTTCAAAAATAAGGGAGGTGAGTGTGAGGGGTGGGGCTGGGGGTACTGTGGAGGTGGAGGGGCCGGGCCCTGGCGGAGGGCTCGGCAGGGGGTGGGGTTCTCTCTGATGCTGGCCGGTTCCCTCCTGCCCAGACCTGCACCGCTGTGCCGTGTTCTGCCTGCTGCAGCTCGGCGTGGAGATCTATGACACCGAGATGGTGCTGGTGGACCGGACGCTCACCGACATCTGCTTCGAAAATGGGGTCCTCTTGTGAGTAACTGGCCCCAGGGCCTCCCTGTGCAGCAGCTACCCCGCCCCAGGGGGGCATGTTCCCAGAGATCCCCACAGTCAGCACCCCCCTCTGCATCTTACAGTGCGCCCTGCTGGAAGAGGTCTGGGTAAACAGGAGCTCCCCCCCCCCACAGCCAGGGATCCTGCCCTGCTCCCCACAGCACCCCCTGCTGGGAGAGGTCTGGGTAACCAGGAGCCCCCCCCACAGCCAGGGATCCTGCCCTGCTCCCCACAGCGCCCCCTGCTGGGAGAGGTCTGGGTAACCCCCCACAGCCAGGGATCCTGCCCTCTCCCCACACCCCCCTCTGAGGGGGGGGAAACAAGCCCCCCCCCCACAGCCAGGGATCCTGCCCTGCTCCCCACAGCGCCCCCTGCTGGGAGAGGTCTGGGTAACCAGGAGCCCCCCCCCCCCCCACACAGCCAGGGATCCTGCCCTGCTCCCCACAGCACCCCCTGCTGGGAGACGTCTGGGTAACCAGGAGCCCCCCCCCCCCACACACACACACAGCCAGGGATCCTGCCCTGCTCCCCACAGCGCCCCCTGCTGGGAGAGGCTGGGGTGGACTGGCCTGGAGCTCCCCGGCAGTGGCCGGGCTGTGATGGCTGTCTCCCCGGCAGCACGGAGGCAGGCCCGGACTTCGAGCTGAAGGTGGAGCTGTACAGCGTGGGGCTGGAGGAGGACTCTGCGCTTGGTAGCACCCCGAAGAAGCTGGCCAGCAAACTGAGCAGCTCACTGGGACGCTCCTCCGGGAAGCGGCTGCGTGCGGCGTTGGATGGGGCCCCGGGGAGCCCCGTGAGTAATGGGGGGAGCAGCCCGCTCCTGCTGCCGGCCCCCAGCGTGGTGTGAGTACCCGTTGCCCTTTCATTGCCGTGCGCCCCGGGGCCCGCTGGACCCTAACCCTCTCTCCCCCCCATTCAGGGGCCCCAAGTACCACCTACTGGCCCACACCGCGCTCTCCCTGGCTGAGGTTCAGGACAGCTTCCGCACCCATGACTTGGCCATCACCAGCAATGGTAAGAGTGTAGGGGTGGAGGGTGCGGGGTAAGGGATGGGGAGGAGCAGGGAGGCAGGGCATGGAGTTGGTGAGACCTGCAGAGTTCTGCTGGCTGCTTGGCCCCCTCTGCACCCCACAGAGCCCTGTGTAACCCCGGTGACTCCCCGTCTCTCCCCCGCAGAGGAGAGCTCCTTCTGGCTGCCCCTCTATGGCAGCATGTGCTGCCGTCTGGCTGCCCAGCCCAACTGCATGGCCCAGCAGATGATGTGCGGCTTCTTGAAATTGCAAGTAAGTTCGCACCCCAGCGTGGAGAGCCTGTGCTGGGGAGGGCATGGGACACGGGGCCCCTTTCCTCTAGGGGGCGCTGGGCCTGATCTGGCTCCCTGGCGGGGACAGGCTGGGTCGGGGATGGGGAATGGGACACGGGGTCTCTCCCCTCTGAGTTCCCCATTCCAGCCTCATGTTACCCAGGACCCTGGTGGATGTTTCCATCACTTGGATCTTTCAGTCCAGCCTGGCCGCCTGTTTCTCCCAGCTCTCCAGCTAGCCCGGTGTCCCTGGCTGGGCACTCAGCCTGCGCCAGGCAGGGGCTCACGCTGGATCGCCTGGTGCCTTAGAAGCTCGGCGCTTCTGAGGTGGCCAGAGGTCGTTCCCGGCGGGCAGCTGTGGATTGGTGGCCCTGGGGGACCGAGTTTGCCGGGTCTCAGTACCAGCCCAGTCTCTAGCGTGAAGGTCTCCATGTCCCAGAAACTACTGGCCCCTGCCCCTCATGGCAGCCACGGCAGAGGCCTGGGGCTTAAACCCCTGCACAGGGCAGCCACGGCGCAGGGAGCCAGCCCTCCCCAGAGCCATCGGGCTGGGCCCTGCCATGTGAGGCTGGACGTGGGGTGGAAATGAGAATGTTTCCCCCCGGGGCGCGTCCCCTGCCCTAACCCGGCCTGGCCTGTGTCGGCTGCAGCAGCAGGTGGGCGAGCAGCAGAGCTGGGCGCGGCTGTACTGCGTGCTGCGGGGCTCCAACCTCCTCTGCTACCGCCAGCCCCAGGACGCCGAGGCCCCGGTGGAGCCGGCGCTTACCATCGCCATCAACAAGGTGAGGGGGGCGGGCAGCAGGGCCCCTGGGCACTGAGGGCAGATCAGGGCAGGCCTGGTCCCGACAGCTTCTCCTCAACCTCCCACCCTGTCGCCGTGTCTCCGACCCCAACCCCTTGCCACGAAGCCTGGTGCCCTGGCTGGGGGGCTGGGTACAGTGCTGCCCTCGGGGTCCCAGCTCACTCCCTGGGCCTGGCGCCGTGGAACTGGGGGCTCCTGCCCTGGGCTGCTTCTTGGACAGCCGGGGTTGGATTCCCTGCTGGGCTCGGCTCAGCGGGGGGAGCTGCTGGGGCTGGCCTGTGTCGGGGGGCGGGGGGAAGTTTCAGGCCTGGGGCTGGCCTGTGTCAGGAGGGGGCTGGGGCTGGGACTCGGCTCCGGGCAGAGGGGTCTCTGTGCGGGGAGGTTCCAGCCTGGGGCTGGGCTGTGTCGGGGAGGCGGGGAAGGGAGCTGGGGCTGGGCTGTGGGGGTCTCTGCGGGGCAGGAGGGGGGCTGGGCTCCGGGCTGAGGGGTCTCTGCTGTGGCAGGAGACGCGGATCCGGGCCACGGAGAAGGACCCCAGGAACAAGCTGCAGAGCATGTCGGTGACCAACCGCTATGGGGGGGAGGAGGTGACGCACACGCTGCTGGCGGAGAGCCGGGCCGACACGCAGCGCTGGATGGAGGCCTTCTGGCAGCACTTCTACGACCTGAGTGAGTGGGGCACAGCCAGGGACTGGGACATGGGCGGGGCAGCTGGCTGGGGGGAGCACAGCCCGAGCCTGGCGGGGACATAGCTGGGGTCAGGGGAGCTGGCTGGGGGCGGCACAGCCTGGGGCCAGGGTGGGGGCACAGCTGGGTGCTGGGGGGGGGCACTCGGGACCTGGGAATGGGGCCAGACCCCAGGAGACAGTAGGAGCCCAGGCCCACTGGGGGGCAGAGCCAGGCCGACACAGAGTGGGATGGGGACCCTGGGCAGCTGTCATGGGGTCCCCGGGCGATTCTCTGGGACTGTTCCCTACGAAGCCAGGCAGGACTCTGGGGAGCCTCCTCGCTCTGAGCAGCCTGTCTGCAGGGCAAGCAGCTCACCCGGCTTCCACCTTCCTGGGTCTGACCTCGGAGTATTCAGCCTCCCCTGCCCCACTGTGCGCTTCCCCCAGCGAGTCTGCCCCGGCGGAGTGCTGGGAAGCCAGAGGGTCCTGTCCCCCAACTCCGCAGTCAGACGTGACTCTCAGCCAGCCGTAAAACAGAGGTTTATTAGACGACAGGAACATGGTCTAAACCAGAGCTTGTGGGAACAGGAACAGGACCCCTCAGTCAGGTCCATCTTGGGGGGCAGGGAGGCCAGAGCCCCATCTTTGTCTCTTTCCCAGGCCAGGAGGCCACCTGATCCCTTTGTTCTCCAACCCCTTCAGTTGGCACCTTGCAGGGTGGGGCCCAGGCCATCAGTCGCCAGGAGACAGGGTGTCGGCCATTCTCTGTACAGACACCCTCACACTGGCCCTCAAGCGCTCTGCAACAATCCCACCCCCTTATCCCCCAACTTAAGATACTTAAGAAATGCCTAGGGGAAACTGAGGCACCCATACAGTACTCAGAGAGAACTTTAAGAACAGTCCCGCTTTGTCACAGCAGCCCTTCCCCCAGAGGAGCGGGTGGGGCTGGGGCAGCGTGGGGCTGGGACCGGTGCTTTCCAGGGACCCCAGGCACTCTGACCTCAAACAGCTGATGCTGTGCGGTCAGGCTGTGCCATAGCTGGGACAGGCAGCCGTGCCAGCCGGCGTGCCCTGGTGCAGGCCCCACAGTCTGTGGGTAAAGGGCACTAGAGTCGCTGCCCAGGGGGCTGCCCCAGAAGCTGGGGGAGAGGGGGGAATGAGGCACCAAGTGCAGCTGGTGTCAATACACAAACCAGCCACATGGGGGCAGAGCACGTCTGTCCTTCCCCGCGGGCATTTTCAGGGCACAGACCCCCCACCCCCCCGGCCCTGACCCCTCAGGTGTTTGGGGGGCTGTGGAGTGACCCTGCCCCTCCCCTCCCGGCAGGCCAGTGGAAGCAGTGCTGCGATGAGCTCATGAAGATCGAGGTGCCGTCCCCACGCAAGCCCCCAGCCCTGCTGGCCAAGCAGGGCTCCCTGTACCACGAGATGGGTAAGGGGGCCCCCCGGGTCCCGTCCTGGGGATGGGCACGGAGGGCCCAGCACTGGGGAGGCAGGAGGTCTCTGGCACGGGGGAGTCTGTGGGGGGGCTTGGGCACAGGGTCTGTGCACTCTCTGTCTGTCTTGGCTTCCTGTCTGCAGGGCCCTTGCCCGCTCTCTGCTAACCCAGCTGCTGTGGGGGGTGACCCCCCACCCCCACTTGCTGCCCCTGTCTGACTCTCACCCCTGGGTGTATGTTTCTGTAACCACGCCCCTTTCTCTCCCCTCCTGGCGCTGCCTCCCTTCCCTTCTTCTGTCTCTGTCCCTCTCCCGGGCTGCCCCCGGGCACCAGCTCTCCCTGGCCCTGCGGTGCCGCCCTCGGCCTGCGAGGGGCTCCTGCTCCAGGATAACGCCGTCTCCGCTGAGATTCGGGCGCTTCTCTCCTCCTATTACAGCGACAGGTGACGTACGGGGCGGGGGGCTCATGGAGCTGGCCTGGCACAGGTGGGCCCAGACCCCAGCAGGGCCCTTGCTCCAAGTGGCCTTTATCTGCAGGACCAAAGTGGCACCCCCATGCCTGTTGCCTCAGGGACACCCCGCCCTCCCCCCGGGGCAGTGACCAGCCAGGGTCAAGTCTAGGGAGCAGGGCAGGAGTGCTGCCTGTGGGGGGGGGGGAGCTCTGGGCTACTGCAGCCCCAGCCTCTCCTAGCAGGGGGTGCTGTGGGGGGGAGCGGGGAAGCAGCACTGGCTACTCCAGCCTGGGCCTTTCCCAGCAGGGGGCGCTGTGGGAAGCAGGGCAGCTGCGAGCTGGTGGCTCTGGGAGACATTTATCCTGACCCCCACCTCCTTGCCCCATAGCTATTGAGCCTGTGGATGACATTGAGGCCGTGACGGACATCCTGGCACGACGGGTGACGGCCCTCGAGCTGCGGTCGGACCTGGGCTGCCCCCCATGGCTGTCTCTCTTCGAGGGGCCCCTGCTCAGCGCGTCCCACGCCAGCATCACTTCCGACAGCCCCAGCCCCAGCCCCGCTCGCTCACGCCCGGCCTGGGGCCGGCCCCGCACGCTCTCCCTGGACGCCAGGCTCAGCACGCTGAAGGGGCGTGCTGGGAAGGGCCAGGCCCCTGCCCTGCGCCCGCTGGCCGGCCCCCCCCCCTCCGGCTCCTCCAGCAGCCGTGGCAACAGCCCCGAGTCGGAGCGCCAGGGCCGCTGCCCCACCCGCCCCACCCTGGAGCCCCGCAGCGGCCTGCAGTCCCAGGTCTGATCAGCAGGGGGCGCCGGGAGCTGGCACTTGCAGCCTGACCAGGACTGGAGGTGACGGGGGAGGGGCCCCCCCGGCAGGGGCCCCCCATGGCCCAGCCAGCCCTACGGCCTCCCTGCTCCAGCCGGGAGTGCCGGGTCGGTGTCTGTTCTCCGTCCTGCACAGCGGCACCTCTCCACCCCGTCCTCCCCCTGAGCCCGTGCCCCAGGGGCCATCGCTCACGCAGGGCCAAGGGACCCCCCCGGGGACTGGCTTGTAGGGATACCACAGCAGGGCCCCCTCGTACCCACCCGGGGCATCCCTTGCGAGGTCCCCGGCATCTGCTGGGGAGGGCTGTTAGGAACGGCCGGCCGAGCCCCCAGCCTGGGGCCCAGGGCCCACTCGCTCCCCTGGCTGAGCTGAGCCCTGAGCCAAGGGCCTGCCCCAGAGGTGCTGAGCTCACCCCCCAGTCCCCACTGCCCAGACAGACACAGAGGAAGCGGGGCAGCCTCTGGGCTGGTGCCCACGTTGTGGGGAGGGCCGAGCTGTTCTCAGTCTGGCGTCAGAGCAAAGGCTGAACACGGGGGGGCTTTGGGACAAAAAACTGGAAATTTTTTGCCACAGGTGACACTAACGGGGAGGGGCAGGGCCTGAGGATTCCCGAATTCCAGCTCTAATGGCTTTTCCTCACTTATTCTAACCAGCCCCGTGAAGCTGCAGCCCCCCAAAAACAGACCAGTTCCCCTGCAGGGGCATGCATAGCCCCTCCCCCCACAACCCTGTCTCCCGCCATGGGGCTGTCCGTCTGGGGGGGGGACCGAGGCTACAGCCACCTCATTAATATGCATTAAAATATATTTAACGTTCCCAGTCTCTGATTTGGAGAAGGGGGATAGGGGAGGGGGCAGGACCGGCCCTGCCGGGGTAGGTTGGTCACTGGGCCCACCTGCCATCGCCCACCCCATGAGCTTGGGCCTTGCAGGCAGCCTTGATGTCACAGCTAGAGAGTGGCCCATGGGTCCAGCTAGCTTGGGGAGGGACACAGCTCCGCCCCCCATCATGGGGGAGCCCTGCCCCCTCCCCCCCAAGCAGGTCAGGTGGGGTTGGGCCACTCTCTGCTGGTGGGGGTGGGGTGCCCCCACTCAGCACCCTCCAGCCAGCACCCCCTCTATTCCTTCCTGTGAGGCCAACCCAGGTACTGGGCCCCCCGTGCCTCACCCCCAGCCCTGGCGAGAATGGAAGGGGGGGGCTGCTTTGCCCACAGCTGCTGGGGGCTCAGGGGCGAGCGGTTGAGCCTTGTCCCCAGCAGGAGGGCTGGGCCATGCCTCGACAAAGCCCCCCCTGTGCCAGGCTGGCTCAGTGGCCTTGGGCCCCATCGGGGGGATGAGTCCAGGTGCCGCAGCCTCACGGGCAGGGGAGGGGCAGAGAAGCCAAAGCCAGACCCATGGCAAGTTCCTACAGCTCCTTTATTAGGCCTTGGAGGCCACAGCCCAGGACCCAGGGTACCGTGGTGGGTTGGGGGCTCACCCAGCGAGCAGAGAACAGGGTGCCAGGGGTTCAGAGTGGAGGGGTTGGGCCCACAGGCACCCCCAGAGCGTGGGGGGGAGAATTGCTGGTTCTTAGAACAGCCCAGGGGGGGCGCGATCCGAGCAGCCCTGCGGCGAGTCGCAGTCAGTAAAGCCGAGCCCACGCTGGCCCTGTGGGATGAGGCGAGTGCTGGGGTCCGGCAGCCCCCGCTTTCTATGCCGTGGGGGGGGAGGGGCCCGCGATGGGCTCCCCCCCCTCCAGCGCCACCTGCCTGGCGCCGCCTTGCAGAGAGACCCAGGCTTTGCCCCCTGCGGAGAGACCGGCAGCTCAGCGACAGGGGCCCTTGCTGGGGTATCACCCCCCCAGCCCTCCCTCCCTCCCCTCCTTCAGGGCACCCTGGCCAGGCCGCCTCTTCCCCCGCCAACCCCATTCCCGGGGGAGCCCAGCCAGGGCAGCCCCTCCCCTGCTCCCTGGGGGTGGCACAGGGCGGAGTGGGAGGCCGGAGCCGCGGTACCTGCGGGGGGATCCCACGCCGCTTGCAGCTGGAGCTTGGCACCGCTGCTCAGGGCGCCCTGCGGGACGAGAGGGGCGCTGAAGGGGGGCACGGGCACAGCTCTCACCTAGGCAGTGGGACTAAGCCAGGCTCCCTGCTCCCACTGGCTCCCCGTGGGGCAGGTACTCTGGGGTCCAGGGCCTGGGCAGCCTGCCGCAGGTGACGGGCGGGGGCTGCAGTGGGGTCACCTGCAGAGGGAGCCTGAGCTGATGCCACATGGAAACAGCTCCTGACATGGGCCCCACTTGGAGCCGGTTCCCCCCGAGAGGGGAAAGGCCCCATTCCCCACCCCCCTGAGCCAGCCAGTCCCCTGCCCTGGGGCAGATCGGAGCCAGCACCTCCTAGAGGGGAAAGGCCCCATTCCCCACCCCCCGGGCCAGCCAGCCCCCTGCCCTGGGGCAGATCGGAGCTAGCCCCCCCCGAGAGGGGAAAGGCCCCATTCCCCACCCCCGGGCCAGCCAGTCCCCTGCCCTGGGGCAGATCGGAGCCAGCACCTCCTAGAGGGGAAAGGCCCCATTCCCCACCCCCCGGGCCAGCCAGCCCCCTGCCCTGGGGCAGATCGGAGCCAGCCCCCCCGAGAGGGGAAAGGCCCCATTCCCCACCCCCCGGGCCAGCCAGCCCCCTGCCCTGGGGCAGATCGGAGCCAGCCCCCCCGAGAGGGGAAAGGCCCCATTCCCCACTCCCCGGGCCAGCCGGCCCCCTGCCCTGGGGCAGATCGGAGCCAGCCCCCCCGAGAGGGGAAAGGCCCCATTCGCTGCCCCCAGCCCTGGGGCAGAGTGGAGTTGGTGCCTCCTGAAGGGGAAAGGCCCCATGTCCTGAACTTGCCACCCCCTGACATTAAAGTTCCTCATAGATTTTGGCTCCGTTACCTTCTCTCCTGGCTCCAGCTCCAGCTCCGTGAGCTCCGGCCACCTCCTGGCCTCCTGCCCTGCTATGCCATTGTGTCCTGACTCCAGGAGGAGCTCGGCCGGGCTGGCCCCTGGTGCCAGGCAAGGCCCGTGGGAGGGCTCCACCCATGCCTCTCCACCTACGGGGAGACGGGTGAGGGCTGAGTGCCTGGCACTCGCTCTGCTGCCAGAGCAGCGGGCGACCGTCCAAGCTGGCTCAGGGGCTGCTGGGCTCCATCAGGTACCCCACTCCACCAGCCTGGCTGACGGCAATTCAGGAACCCCGCCGCCTCCCCCCGGAGCAGAACGCCCCCGAGTGACAGCCGGCCAAGCAGCACTGCGTGGTGCCCTCCCCAGGGGGTTTCCTGCCGGGGGCTGTGTTGGGGGTGGGGGGCAGACCCGCTGGGGGGTTTCCTGCTGGGCCGTGCTGGGGGAGCGGGACAGACCTGCCAGCCCAGGTGACCCCAGTGCTGGCTCAGCCCGGCAGCTCCTGGTGTGTGCGCACGATGGCACCGTCCTGCCCCGAACACCCACCTGCCCCGGGGTCCTCGCCAGGCAGGGGGGCTGCAGCTGTGGAGGGGCCGGGCTGCCAGGGCCAGGAGGGCGCTGGCTGGGGCAGAGGTTCCACGGAGAGGGAACCTGCGCTGGAGAGAACCGGGCAGCTTGGAGCAGGCTCCCCCACGGCCAGTGATGGGCGAGTGGGATCAGCGAGAGGCCCAGTCTGCACATCTGGGAGCCGGTCGTGGGGCCCCTCAGTGGGCACTGACTCTGCCAGGAGGGAGCCCTCAGAGGGGCCCTGGAGCAATAGGGGAGCCTCCTCCATGGGCGGAAATATAGCTGGGGGCTGGTTTGGAGACCTCAACCCATGGGGGATGCTGGGGGACAGAGACACTGGGGAAGGGGGGCTGGCCAGGGGTAGAGAGAGAAGAGGTGGAGACCTGGCTCTGGGAGGGCTGACAGGGCATGGGGGGCTGGCAGAGGGTGGAGACCCAGCTCTGGGAAAGGCAGGGGGTGGAGAAGACCCGGCTCTGGGAGGGCTGGCAGGGGCAGGAGACCAAGTTCTGGGAGGGCTGTCAGGGGATGGAGACCCGGCCCTGGGAGGGCTGGCAGGGGATGAAGACCCGGCCCTGGGAGGGAATGGAGACCTGGCCCTGGGAGGGCTGTCAGGGGATGGAGACCCGGCCCTGGGAGGGCTGTCAGGGGATGGAGACCCGGCCCTGGGAGGGCTGGCAGGGGATGGAGACCCGGCTCTGGGAGGGCTGGCAGGGGATGGAGACCCGGCCCTGGGAGGGGATGGAGACCCGGCCCTGGGAGGGCTGGCAGGGGATGGAGACCCGGCCCTGGCAGAGGGGGCAGGGGGTGGAGACCTGGCCCTGGGAGGGCTGGCAGGGGCAGGAGACCAAGTTCTGGGAGGGCTGTCAGGGGATGGAGACCCGGCCCTGGCAGAGGGGGCAGGGGGTGGAGACCTGGCCCTGGGAGGGCTGGCAGGGGCAGGAGACCAAGTTCTGGGAGGGCTGTCAGGGGATAGAGACCCGGCCCTGGGAGGGCTGGCAGGGGGTGGAGACCCGGCCCTGGGAGGGCTGGCAGGGGGTGGAGACCCAGCTCTGGCAGAGGGGGCAGGGGGTGGAGACCCGGCTCTGGCAGAGGGGGCAGGGGGTGGAGACCCGGCTCTGGGAGGGCTGGCAGGGGGTGGAGACCCAGGCTCTGGGAGGAATGGCAGGGGGTGGAGACCCGGCTCTGGGAGGGCTGGCAGGGGGTGGAGACCTGGCTCTGGCAGAGGGGGCAGGGGATGAAGGCCTGGCAGGGGATGGAGACCTGGCTCTGGCAGAGGGGGCAGGGGATGGAGACCAAGTTCTGGGAGGGCTGGCAGGGGGTCGAGACCTGGCTCTGGCAGAGGGGGCAGGGGGTGGAGACCCGGGTTCGGCCAGGCTGATGGGAGGCAGAGTCATGGTTCCATCTGGACTGATGTGGAACAGATCTTTGGTTCTGGGCTGAATAGCTGGAGCCAGGGGCCCTGTCCTGGGTGGGCTGGTGGGGGGCAGGGGTTTGGCCCAAGGCGGGCTGGTGGGGGGCAGGGGCCCTGTCCCGGGCGGGCTGGTGGGGGGCAGGGGTTTGGCCCAAGGCGGGCTGGTGTGGGGCAGGGGCCCTGTCCCGGGCGGGCTGGTGGGGGGCAGGAGTTTGGCCCATGGCGGGCTGGTGGGGGACAAGGGCCCTGTCCCGGGTGGGCTTGTGGGGGGCAGGGGTTTGGCCCTGGGCAGGCTGGTGGAGGGCAGGGGCCCTGTCCCAGGCAGGCTGGCGGGGGACAGGGGTGTGGGTCTGCGTGGACTGGCAGGAGGGGCAGCCGTGCTGGAGCGGGACTCAGAGGTGCGAGGGCTGGAGGGGGCCGGGAGGAAGTCACCCGGCGAAGTGTGGGGCTCTGGCCGGCGGAAGATGTAGGCAGACTCAGTCAGGCTGCGCTGGTAGCGTAGGTAGGGCCTATGGGGTGCTCCTGGGGGGAAAGCACAGAGGAGATTGTCAGCGGCTGCTTCCCCTGCCCCTCCCGCACCATCACCCACCACTGTCATGCAGCCACCTCGGGGGGGAACACAGCAGCTGCTTAACCCGTAGGCCCCTAATAGCTCCCTCGTGCCCCCAGCAAATGGCAGGCTTGGTTTGCAGACAGCAAACCTGATCCGAGAGCTCCCAGCAAGGCAGGATTTCAGCCAAATCCCACATCCAGCGGAAAGTGCCCAGGGGAGCGCAGGCGCCGGGGGCTGAGACACTCACCTGGCCTGACACCCAGGGGCGAGGGGGGCGACTGGGCACCCGAAGTGGAGCTGGAGCGTTCCCGCTGCCTGAAGAACTCCCGGGGATTCTGTGAGCGCTGGGAGACCAGCGTGGCCGCCTCCTGCAACGCACAGAGTGAGGGGGGGCCTGAGGGGCCGGGCAGGGGGCTCTGCATCCCGGCCCGAGTGGGGAAGATGTTAGTGTTGGCCTGGCCCAGCAGGGGGCGTCCTGGCCAGGTGGGGGGCAGGAGGCTAGGACAGGCCTGGCCCAGCAGGAGGCGTCCTGGCCAGGTGGGGGGCAGGAGGCTAGGACAGGCCTGGCCCAGAAGGGGGCGTCCTGGCCAGGTGGGGGGCAGGAGGCTAGGACAGGCCTGGCCCAGAAGGGGGCGCTCTCTCTCTCTAGGCTCCCATCACTTACCACTGCCTTCTCGATGGACTCACTGCGCCGGAACCGGTCCCGCATGGCCTCCTCGTGCTCCCGCTGCTGCTGCTCCTGGGACGGGATGGGGTAGAGACCCTCAGAGAGCTGGGGCACTTAGCAGTGGGGGCAGCTCGAGGGGGGCTGGGCCCCCACGTCCTCTGCCCCCCAGCTCCTTGCGCGCTGCCTGCCTTGGTTCATGCTCCTTCCTGGGGGCTGGCTCCCAGCCGTGAGACGCACTGTGCCCCTCCGTACTCAGCCTGTGCCCACCCCAGCTCCGACGCGGGCCCCAGCCCTCCCCTGCCGGCCCCATCTCCTGCTCGGCCCCATCTCACCGCCAGCCCACTGCTGGCTGCCGGCTCCCTGATGTAGGGGCAGGGCGGGCACAGCTTCCACTCACCCATCGGGCTTTCTCCTTCCTCCGCTCCTCGGCCTCCAGCCGCGCCTGCTCCTTCCTGCAGGGAGGGACCCAGGTCAGCCGAGGAGCTCGCGAGCCCTGGCGGGGCCTGGCTCCGCCGGGTGCAGGGCCCCAAGGCAGGCCTGCGGGATGGGGCAGGGGCACCAGGCCTGGCAGCCCTGGGGGACTCACCTCTGCTCCTCGATCAGCCTCTCCTTCTCCTTGAACTTGCGCTCTCGCTCAGCCGCCTCTCTCTTCTCCTCCTCCATGCGCTCACGTTCCCAGCGCCTACGCTCCTCCAGCAGCCGCCGGCGCTCCTCCTCCTTCCGCTGCTCCTCTTCCCTCTGGGTGCAGCACAGGGCACGGGGGGCTGAGCTCTGGGGGACCCCAAACAGCCTCCAGCACCGGGGCGGGGGCAGGGCAGCGAGGGGATCCCTGCAGGGCAGGGGCAGGGGCAGGGACCGATCCCCGAGTCCAGGTGCTGAGCTCCCACCAACACCCGGAGCAAGGTGGGGAGGTCAGCACCTGGCCCAGACCCCCTGCCCGGGCACTGCCCCCTCCCTCTGTGTTTCCAACCAGCCCTGCTCCCAAGGCAGGGGCCCAAGTCGTCTCCCCCAGGGCAGTACTGCGGGGATGCACCGGGGGCAGCATATACAACAGAGCACTGGCCACATTCCCACAGGGAACCTGCCTGAGACCCCCCTTCACTGGAACGTTTGGGGGACTCAGCCCCGACGGGAGCCACGGGGGGGGCAGGGCAGGATCAGAGCCCAGAACCCCGCAGGGATCAGCCTGAGGCGGGGAGGCCAGAGCCTGGCCCTGGGAGCAAGGAGCACAGAGGGACTTGTGGTCCGCGAGCTCCAGTCAGGTGGTCCGCGGATAGTCCCTTCTAGGGTGCACACCTGGCCCACCACACACGAGAGAATGAAGCGCCGTCCACCACATGTAAGGTGAGGTGGTGGCCTTGGGAGGACTAGGGGGTAGGTGGGAGGGGGCAGTGGGGTGAGGTGGGGGAAATAGGAAGTAGGTAGGGGCAATGGGGTGAGAAGAGGGGGTGGGGGAGAATTTGGGACGGTGGCCAGAGAGAGAGGCAACTTTCTCAAGCTCCAGGGCTGCAGCAGCCAGGGAAAGAACCTGCTCCTTCCCAGCCCAGCTCGGGGGCTGCCATGGCAGGAGAGAGACCCCTCCTCCTTCCCAGCCCAGCTCAGGGGCTGCCACGGCGGGGAGAGAGGGAGAGACCCCCCTCTCCTTCCCAGCCCAGCTCGGGGGCTGCCACGGCGGGGAGAGAGGACTGATATTAAAATATGAGCTGTGTGCTTTTATTTGTAGAACAAAATAAGTTTATTATTATTAAGTTTTTGTATGTAGCACTTTTATCCAAAGCGCTTTGCACTCGCAAGCTAACGGGACAAACAACATTTGGAAAGATCATTAAGGGGTCCGCCAGGACCCTCAGCAATTTTCAAGTGGTCCATGAAAAAAAAGTTTGAGAACCACTAGACTAGTCCAAATGTCCCACTCATTCAGCATTCCCGCACCTCCCGATTAAACCTGCTCCAGGGGGCACTGTGGGGAGCAGGGCAGGAGCCCTGGCTGTGGGTGCAGTTCCCGGCTGCAGACGTATGGGGCAGGGCCTGGAGTGCGGCTCATGACCTGTGCAGGGGATCTCTTGGGACTGCGCTGTCTGCTCACCTCGGCCTGCGCCCAGAACGAGTCCCGTTTGGTCCTGCGGATCTCCAGGGCAGGGTTCGTTTTCCTGTAGTTGGTGCCCTGCGGGGAGATGCAGAAATGGGTCCAAGGGGGGCTCAGAGTAGCCCTCTCCCTGGGACATCTCCATCCCTGTACTGGGCCATGGCAGCTCAGTGAGGGGGGGAGGGTCCCAGGGCCCTGCATGCGGCATCACCCCCCCCTTGCCCCGACCAGGCTCCCGTCTGCACCCGGTGCAGCACATGCCAGCCTGGCACGTCTGCAGGGAGCAAATGCCAATGCAGCCCAGAGGGAAACCCCAGCGGCCCCTCCCTCTATGCACCCCACAGCATCTGTCCGTCAGGCCCCAGTCCACACACTTTCCCACACACACCCCCCGCCAACCCCCCCCGCCCCCCCACTCACCACCAGTTCCTCAGAGCTGCTGGCTGGTGCTCGCCTGGAGACGCTGCCCCCTGCTGGCGCGAGCTGGGACAGCACGTGATGGAGCCCCTCCTGCGTCACCTCCTCGGGGCGGCGGGCGCTCAGCACCAGGCTGGCCTCCTGCACGAGGGAGGGGAGGACAGCTTCACCTCTGCTCACCCCAGGCCTGGGAGCCGGGGAGCCCCCAAGGGGAGCCCAGTTGTCCTTCCCACCCCAGCCTGGGAGAGGGGAAGGCGGCTCTCCCGGCACAGGCCCTGGATGCATCCTGCTCCCAGCTCCGGCCTGTGCCCGCATCGGGCGGGACGCTGGCTGGCTGGTTGCAGCCTGTCTCTGGCAGATTCCTGCCCATCCCTGGCTCCATTCCCGGGTATTTATAGGTTCTTGGGCTCCAGATGGTGGAGACTGTTTCCCTCTGGCCGCTGGGGCTAGGCCATGCAGGGGGCTGGGTGCCCGGGCTGGGGGAGGGTGGGACAGAGAGGGCCACTCACCAGGGGCCTGCTCCCGGCCCTTGGGGGGAGGGGAGCACCCCTGCACTGAGCGAAGGCTCCAGCACTGGGAACGGGGGAGACACAAGCAACAGATGGGGTGGGGGGGGTTGGAGAGGGGCCCCAGCTGCTCCCCCACCCCCTTCCTGCCCAGGGAAAGCCCCCCAGGTCCGGGGCCAGGGAGCCGGGCCAGGGCTGGGAATGGCAGAGCCTGAGTTAGCAGTGGTGGGAATGTGCTGAGCAAAGCGTCCGAAGGCCAGGGGCTGCCCAGGGCAGGGGTCCCAGCTCGGGGAGAGCCAGGGAGCGAGTGGGACGGAAACAAAGCCAAACACCAGGGACGTGGCAGGGGCTAGGGAAGTGTGTGGGAGCGGCCAGACAGCCACAGCCCGGAGCTGAAATGGCGACAAAGGCTGGACACACCCCACCCCCACAGCGCCCCCTGCTGGGAGAGGCTGGAGCTGGCGTGGCCAGGAACACACACCCCCCACAGCCAGCACTCCTGCCCCGCCCCCCACAGCACCCCCTGCTGGGAGAGACCGGAGCTGGAGTGGGCAGGAACAACCCCCCCCCCGAGCCAGCGCTCCTGCCCCGCCCCCCACAGCACCCCCTGCTGGGAGAGGCTGGAGCTGGCGTGGCCAGGAACACCCCCCCCCACAGCCAGCACTCCTGCCCCGCCCCCACAGCGCCCCCTGCTGGGAGAGGCCGGAGCTGGCGTGGGCAGGAACAACCCCCCCCGAGCCAGCGCTCCTGCCCCGCCCCCCACAGCACCCCCTGCTGGGAGAGGCTGGAGCTGGCGTGGCCAGGAACACCCCCCCCCCCACAGCCAGCACTCCTGCCCCGCCCCCCACAGCGCCCCCTGCTGGGAGAGGCCGGAGCTGGCGTGGCCAGGAACACACCCCCCCCACAGCCAGCACTCCTGCCCCGCCCCCCACAGCGCCCCCTGCTGGGAGAGGCCGGAGCTGGCGTGGCCAGGAACACACCCCCCCCACAGCCAGCACTCCTGCCCCGCCCCCCACAGCACCCCCTCCTGAGAGAGGCCGGAGCTGGCGTGGCCAGAAACAACCCCCACCACAGCCAGCGCTCCTGCCCCGCCCCCCACAGCGCCCCCTGCTGGGAGAGGCCAGAGCTGGAGTGGCCAAGAGCCCCCTCAACAGCCAGCTCCTACCCTGCTCCACACAGCGCCCCCTACTGGACCAGGCTGGGACTGGAGTAGCCCAGAGCTCCCCCACAGCGCCCCCTTTCAGACAGTCTCTGTGACTCCTGTCTCTCATGTACCCCTTGCAATGCCCAAGTTCCCTGTGGTGCCGCCCGCCGGGCAGGAGCTCACCTTGAAGAAGGCCTTGATGGCAGGCAGATGCCCCGCACAGGTCTGTCTGTAGGACTCCGGCACCTTCTCCCCCACCTGGGCACCAAGCAGACATCAGCTCAGCCGGGCAGCCGGTGCCGGAGCAGGGCCCCAGACCAGGCCAGCTCATTCCACCCCCTGTTGGGCTTTGCGCCTCCATGGCTGGCTGCCGTGTGCTCCCCCTGCAGCCCTGGAGAAGGGGCCCCCCAAAAGAGACCCGGCTCCCCCACCTCTCTGTGGATACAGAATTTCACTGAGCTCGGCAGGTGGCCCCTGCACTTGTCGCCAGGGCTGGGGCTCGCCTAAGAGTCCACTCCCCTGCAGGGCGCTGTCCCAGGAGTCAGCCCAAAGGTTCCCTTCCTCAGTTTCCCTCCAATCCCCTCAGTCGTCCAAGTGCCCACTTGCCCCCCGTCCCCCTGATCTCCCCTCAGACATCCTGCAGACCCTTACGTCCCCTTGTTTGTCACTTGGCCCCCTTAATCGAGCCCCCAACTGACCCCACCCTGCAGTGTGCAATTGTCTTTGGGAGTGCCTGCCTGGAGCCGGAGAGCGCTGAGCCCGTCCTCCCAGAGCTGGAGGCCCCCTGCTCCGGAGGGTGGGGCCCTGCTGCCCAGAACCACGGACCCCGGGGGGCTCTGGGTGGGCAGCTCACCCAGGACAGTATCGATTCGCTCGGGGGCTCCCCCAGGGATCAGAGTCACAGCCAGGCTCTGCTCAGACAGCACCAGGGCCGGGTGTGGGGGAACTGGCAGCCGGCCCCAGAGCTCTCCGAACTGGGGAGTCAGGTGTCGGGGGCAAGAAAGCACCCCAATCTGCTGAGAGGCCAAAGCTGGAGTAGGGGGAGCTCCCCCACAGCCAGGGCTCCCACCCCATGCCCCACAGTGCCCCCTGCTGCAAGAGGCCAGAGCTGGAGTAGCTCATTGTGGAAGTGGGGGTGCCCAGGGCCTGCCGCCCCCAGCCCCCCACCGCTGGCCCTCCAGGGGGGCCGCAGCTGCGTTGTGCAGAGCGGAGAACAGCCTGCACCCCAGGTAGGGCCATGTCAGTAACGCGAGTGCGGCCCGTGGGGTATTCAGGGCACGTGGGGCACACGCAGCGCCCTGCGCCGGGGGCTGAACACACGCAGGCCTGCAGGGGGTACCCAGCCCCGACGAGCCCCTCCCCCCGTCGGATGCCACGGGGCTGAGACAAGGAGCTGCTTAGGGCCCCATATGTGACCCCCTGCCGCCCCCGAAGCCTCCCTGCTACCCACCCATCCACAGAGTCCCCCCAACCCGTGCCCCCCTCACCCCGCCCCCGTGAGCAGGAATGAGAAGCAGTGGCAGCTGGGCCCTGCCAGCGGGTGGGGAGGCCCCACAGCACTTGATGAGGAGCCTGGAACAGGCCCCAGGCCCCCAAGCAGCCCCCAACCAGGGACCCAGCTCCCCAACCAGCCCCAGCCCCCCCAAACAGGGACCCAGAAAAATTCAGGTGGGTGCTGCATTGCCACAGGCACTAGGGGGCGCTATAAGCACCCCCAGTAAGTCTGACCCCTGGCAGAGGGCAAAGGGACCCCTCCCCAGCTGGGGCTGGGGCCCTCCATGCCCACCCTGTCTGCAGGTGCAGGGCCCGCCCCCCGTCCCGTGACTCTCACCCAGTTGATGAGGACAACGCGGGGCTGCCCGGAGCCGGGGTCCTGGACGCGGCATAGGCCGTACATGATGTTGGTACTGGAGAACTTCCTGGCCAGCTCCTCTGCCCCACCAGCTGCAATAAGACCGGGGGGGGGTTAGCAGGGCCCAGCCCCCCAGAGTGCTCCAGGGGACACTAGGGCAGACCCCCACTGCTTGCTGCCCCCACTCCCTGTCTGGGGGAGGGGTATTGGGGCAGCCTCCCTATCCATCCTTATCCCTACTGCCCACACAGGGGGCGCTGGGCCAGGGCGGGTCACTCTCCCCGGGCCGTCAGGGCTGCACTAAGGGGCTTTGGACTGCAGGGAGCAGGGTGGGGGGCAGCGGGGGGCGCTCTCCCCAGGCCGTCAGGGCTGCACTAGGGGGCGCTGGGCGCAGGGAGCAGGGTGGGGGGGCAGCGGGGGGCGCTCTCCCCGGGCCGTCAGGGCTGCACTAGGGGGCGCTGGGCGCAGGGAGCAGGGTGGGGGGCAGCGGGGGGCGCTCTCCCCGGGCCGTCAGGGCTGCACTAGGGGGCGCTGGGCGCAGGGAGCAGGGTGGGGGGCAGCGGGGGGCGCTCTCCCCGGCCGTCAGGGCTGCACTAGGGGGCGCTGGGCGCAGGGAGCAGGGTGGGGGGCAATGGGGGTCACTCTCCCCGGGCCGTCAGGGCTGCACTAGGGGCGCTGGGCGCAGGGAGCAGGGTGGGGGCAGCGGGGGCGCTCTCCCCGGCCGTCAGGGCTGCACTAGGGGCGCTGGGCGCAGAGAGCAGGGTGGGGGGCAGCGGGGGTCGATCTCCCCGGCCGTCAGGGCTGCACTAGGGGCGCTGGGCGCAGGGAGCAGGGTGGGGGGCAGCGGGGGCCGCTCTCCCCGGCCGTCAGGGCTGCACTAGGGGGCGCTGGGCGCAGGGAGCAGGGTGGGGGGCTCAGCGGGGGGCGCTCTCCCCGGCCGTCAGGGCTGCACTAGGGGGCGCTGGGCGCAGGGAGCAGGGTGGGGGGCTCAGCGGGGGGCGCTCTCCCCGGCCGTCAGGGCTGCACTAGGGGGCGCTGGGCGCAGGGAGCAGGGTGGGGGGCAGCGGGGGCGCTCTCCCCGGCCGTCAGGGCTGCACTAGGGGGCGCTGGGCGCAGGGAGCAGGGTGGGGGGCAGCGGGGGCGCTCTCCCCGGCCGTCAGGGCTGCACTAGGGGGCGCTGGGCGCAGGGAGCAGGGTGGGGGGCAGCGGGGGTCGCTCTCCCCGGCCGTCAGGGCTGCACTAGGGGGCGCTGGGCGCAGGGAGCAGGGTGGGGGGCAGCGGGGGCCGCTCTCCCCGGCCGTCAGGGCTGCACTAGGGGGCGCTGGGAGCAGGGAGCAGGGGTGGGGGGCTCAGCGGGGGCGCTCTCCCCGGCCGTCAGGGCTGCACTAGGGGGCGCTGGGCTGCAGGGAGCAGGGTGGGGGGCTCAGCGGGGGGCTCTCTCCCCGGCCGTCAGGGCTGCACTAGGGGGCGCTGGGCGCAGGGAGCAGGGTGGGGGGCAATGGGGGTCACTCTCCCCGGCCGTCAGGGCTGCACTAGGGGGCGCTGGGCGCAGGGAGCAGGGTGGGGGGCAGCGGGGGGCGCTCTCCCCGGCCGTCAGGGCTGCACTAGGGGGCGCTGGGCGCAGGGAGCAGGGTGGGGGGCAGCGGGGGGCGCTCTCCCCGGCCGTCAGGGCTGCACTAGGGGGCGCTGGGAGCAGGGAGCAGGGTGGGGGGCAGCGGGGGGCGCTCTCCCCGGCTGTCAGGGCTGCACTAGGGGGCGCTGGGCTGCAGGGAGCAGGGTGGGGGGCTCAGCGGGGGGCGCTCTCCCCGGCCGTCAGGGCTGCACTAGGGGGCGCTGGGCGCAGGGAGCAGGGTGGGGGGCAATGGAGGTCACTCTCCCCGGCTGTCAGGGCTGCACTAGGGGGCGCTGGGCGCAGGGAGCAGGGTGGGGGGCAATGGGGGTCACTCTCCCCGGGCGTCAGGGCTGCACTAGGGGGTGCTGGGCTGCAGGGAGCAGGGTGGGGGGCTCAGCGGGGGGCGCTCTCCCCGGCTGTCAGGGCTGCACTAGGGGGCGCTGGGCGCAGGGAGCAGGGTGGGGGGCAGCGGGGGGCGCTCTCCCCGGGCGTCAGGGCTGCACTAGGGGGCGCAGGGAGCAGGGTGGGGGGCTCAGCGGGGGGCGCTCTCCCCGGCCGTCAGGGCTGGCCCCATTTGGCCCCAGGGGGTGCTGCGACAGCGAGCCCCAGTTCTGTGACGACTGTCGAATCCCTCCTGCGTCTGGGTGCGGCCCCGGTGTGGGGGGTGCTGGCAGGTCTCTCAGCGGGACGCCAGCCCACGCTGCTGGGGGGCTGTTAGAGAGCTGCCGGGTGGCAGCACCCGGGGACGGCTCCTTAGCCGTGGCGGTGGCCGTGTGGGGCGGGCAGCTGGGAGAGGGGGCTGTGGATCCAGGGCCTCGGCACTGTGATGAAGTGGGACTGTTCTTAATGTTTCCTCTGAATAGTGTGGGGGTGCCTCAGTTTCCCCATGCAGTTCTTAAGTATCTAGGTGGTGGGGTAAGGGTGTATGATCATTGCAGAGCCCTAGAGGGCAGGTGTGTGCAGGAGTCTGGACACAGAGAATGGCCAACACCCTGTTTCCTGGCAACTGATGGCCTGGGCCCTTCCCCCCTGCAAGGTGAGAGCTGAAGGGTTGGAGAACAAAGGAATCAGGTGACCACCTGGCCCGGGAAAGGGACAAAGCCCAGAGGAGGAGGGGCTGGAGGGGGTTTTCAGTTTGGGGCTGGCTGGGACATGGAGTGAAGTGCAGACATGGTTGTCTGGCTCACGGCCCCCCAGAATGGACCCAGCTGAGGGGTCCTGTTCTCTGCACCTGCAAGCTCTGTGTTAGACCATGTTCCTGTCGTCTAATAAACCTTCTGTTTTACTGGCTGGCTGAGAGTCACATCTGACTGCGAAGTTGGGGGGCAGGACCCTCTGGCTTCCCCAGGAGCCCCACCTGTGTGGACTCGCTGGGGGAAAGCGCACGGAGGGGCAGAGGATGCTGAATGCTCCGAGGTCAGACCCAGGAAGGTGGAAGCTGTGTGAGCTGCGTGTCCTAAAGACAGGCTGCTCACAGAAAGGCGACTGCCCCAGAGTCCTGACTGGCTTCATGGGGAGCAGTTCCAGAGCATCGCCCAGGGACTCCGTGACAGGCACCTCTTACCTCCCGAGTCCAGGAGCTTCAGCTCATTGTGCTTCCCATACGCAAAGACGGCCCTGGAGCGGGGCAGAAGGGGAGGTCAGACAGGGCGGGGGGTATTGGGGCAACCAATCTTCTCCTCCACCACCCCCAGCTCAAACACCTGCTTCACCCCCCACCCCCGGGCTGCCAGCCCAGCAACCCCCTCCACAGACACTGGCCCATTCTACCGACCGCCCGAGCCGGGGCTGGATCCAGAGTCTGGCAGGACAGAGACAGTCCAGACTGCCGGGAACAGTGACCCCAGGCCTGTGTGGGGCGTCTGTGTAACATACAGCAGGGGTTCTGACCCACGGCGGTGCAGGGCGCAGAGCCCCGCGGGGGGCGGTGTTGGGGACGGGGCGGATCTGACCCACGGCGGTGCAGGGCGCAGAGCCCCGCGGGGGGCGGTGTAGGGGACGGGGCGGATCTGACCCACGGCGGTGCAGGGCGCAGAGCCCCGCGGGGGGCGGTGTAGGGGACGGGGCGGTTCTGACCCACGGCGGTGCAGTGCGCAGAGCCCCGCGGGGGGCGGTGTAGGGGACGGGGCGGATCTGACCCACGGCGGTGCAGGGCGCAGAGCCCCGCGGGGGGCGGTGTAGGGGACGGGGCGGTTCTGACCCACGGCGGTGCAGTGCGCAGAGCCCCGCGGGGGGCGGTGTAGGGGACGGGGCGGATCTGACCCACGGCGGTGCAGTGCGCAGAGCCCCGCGGGGGGCGGTGTAGGGGACGGGGAGGTTCTGACCCACGGCGGTGCAGGGCGCAGAGCCCCGCGGGGGGCGGTGTAGGGGACGGGGCGGATCTGACCCACGGCGGTGCAGCGCGCAGAGCCCCGCGTGGAGCGGTGTAGGGGACGGGGCGGATCTGACCCACGGCGGTGCAGGGCGCAGAGCCCCGCGGGGGGCGGTGTAGGGACGGGGCGGATCTGACCCACGGCGGTGCAGGGCGCAGAGCCCCGCGGGGGCGGTGTAGGGGACGGGGCGGTTCTGACCCACGGCGGTGCAGGGCGCAGAGCCCCGCGGGGGGCGGTGTAGGGGACGGGGCGGATCTGACCCACGGCGGTGCAGCGCAGAGCCCCGCGGGGGGCGGTGTAGGGGACGGGGAGGTTCTGACCCACGGCGGTGCAGGGCGCAGAGCCCCGCGGGGGGCGGTGTAGGGGACGGGGAGGTTCTGACCCACGGCGGTGCAGCGCGCAGAGCCCCGCGGGGGGCGGTGTAGGGGACGGGCGGATCTGACCCACGGCGGTGCAGCGCGCAGAGCCCCGCGGGGGCGGTGTAGGGGACGGGGAAGTTCTGACCCACGGCGGTGCAGGCGCAGAGCCCCGCGGGGGCGGTGTAGGGGACGGGGAGGTTCTGACCCACGGCGGTGCAGGGCGCAGAGCCCCGCGGGGGGCGGTGTAGGGGACGGGGCGGATCTGACCCACGGCGGTGCAGGGCGCAGAGCCCCGCGGGGGGCGGTGTAGGGGACGGGGCGGATCTGACCCACGGCGGTGCAGGGCGCAGAGCCCCGCGGGGGCGGTGTAGGGGACGGGGCGGATCTGACCCACGGCGGTGCAGGGCGCAGAGCCCCGCGGGGGCGGTGTAGGGGACGGGCGGATCTGACCCACGGCGGTGCAGGGCGCAGAGCCCCGCGGGGGCGGGTGTAGGGGACGGGGCGGATGTGACCCACGGCGGTGCAGGGCGCAGAGCCCCGCGGGGGCGGTGTAGGGGACGGGCGGATCTGACCCACGGCGGTGCAGGGCGCAGAGCCCCGCGGGGGCGGTGTAGGGACGGGGCGGATCTGACCCACGGCGGTGCAGGGCGCAGAGCCCCGCGGGGGGCGGTGTAGGGGACGGGGCGGATCTGACCCACGGCGGTGCAGGGCGCAGAGCCCCGCGGGGGGCGGTGTAGGGGACGGGGCGGATCTGACCCACGGCGGTGCAGGGCGCAGAGCCCCGCGGGGGCGGTGTAGGGGACGGGGCGGATCTGACCCACGGCGGTGCAGGGCGCAGAGCCCCGCGGGGGCGGTGTAGGGACGGGCGGGATCTGACCCACGGCGGTGCAGGGCGCAGAGCCCCGCGGGGGCGGTGTAGGGGACGGGCGGATCTGACCCACGGCGGTGCAGGGCGCAGAGCCCCGCGGGGGCGGTGTAGGGGACGGGGAGGTTCTGACCCACGGCGGTGCAGGCGCAGAGCCCCGCGGGGGGGCGGTGTAGGGACGGGGCGGATCTGACCCACGGCGGTGCAGGGCGCAGAGCCCCGCGGGGGGCGGTGTAGGGGACGGGGCGGATCTGACCCACGGCGGTGCAGGGCGCAGAGCCCCGCGGGGGGCGGTGTAGGGGACGGGGCGGATCTGACCCACGGCGGTGCAGGGCGCAGAGCCCCGCGGGGGGCGGTGTAGGGGACGGGGCGGTTTGACACGCAGCGGCATACGGCCAGCGCCCGGCAGGTCTATTGCAACACAGAGTCCAAAGGGGGTCAGGCAACATGCTCCCCTCCCATCTCCTGTCCGGGGCTCTTGGGCAGATCCATCTCCCCGCCGAGGGAGCGGCCTGAGACAGCCTAGCGTCCCCCTCCACCATATCCCGCCTTGCCTCACTCCTCTGCATTCCCCACCCCCCGCGGGGGGCCAGCCCTCGGTTACCCAGCGTATGCCAGTCGCTCTGCCGCCGGCAGAGCCCTCCCCGCCCATGCCAGCCCCAGCCCTGCACAGGCTGCTCCATCCCCAAGTGCTCGGGGTCAAACTGCAAAGGTCTCCTGCTCCCGAGTGCCCAGCCCCTGCACACACCCCCCGCCAGGGACGGCCGCAGAGGACGGGCTTTTCCTGCAGGCCCTTGAGAGGCTCAGGCAGGAAAGAGGTTGGGGGCCAGGGGCTGCAGGCTCCTCTCCCACCCTGGGGACTTGGGCTCCCTGATGGCGCATGCCACCCGCTCAGGGGCCAGTGGGACGGGAAAGCACCCGCCCCTGCCCCACACACTTCACCCCCAGCCTCCATAGCTCCAGCTGCTCTGCCCCTGCCCAGAGACCCCCAGGACACCTGCAGGCCTGGCCTCCCCTCCGGTCAGCTCCTTCCCCCCATCCCGGCCTCCCCTCCGCTCAGCCCCTCCCCGTCCTGGCCTCTCCTCCGCCCCAGCCCCTTCCTGGCTCAGGGTATGGAAGTGCATCCGACAGCATCCGCTCCAGGACAATGGGGCTGCAGGATCTGGCACAATGGCAGGAGGACCCGTGGCAAGAGCACCCCTGCCAGGTCCCCCTGCCTGGCTCAGCGCAAAGGGGCGCACGTGGCCCACAAACAGCCCCCAATGGGCAGCACTCCCACACTGATTCCCCCCCGATTCCCCCCGACACAGCCAGCTCCTGCCCCACCCCCACAGCGCCCCCTGCTGGGAGAGGCCGGGGCGGAGTTGCTGGGAGCTCTCCCCACACCCAGCTCCTGCCCTGCTCCCCACAGCGCCCCCTGCTGGGAGAGGCCGGGGCTGGAGTCGCCGGGAGCTCCCCGCCCAGCAATCTGGCCCTGTTCCCTGCAATGCTGCCATTCCAAGACACGACATATTCAATTAATTTGCTCAGCTTCCGCTGCGGTGCATCTGAAGCGATCCTGAGGCCCAGCAAGGGGCGGATAATGCGGGGGGAGTAACGTACACAGAAGCTGCCCTATAGGCCAGTCCCCCTGACCCGGGACCCATCACGGCCCCTTTCGGTGCCTCTTGGCCAAGCCAGACAGACTGGGGCACGAGCCTGTGAGCAGCCCCAGCCCCTGGGGCAGGAGGAGCCTGGAGCCGCGGCCGGGTGCTAGAACCGAGAGAAGCTGGCTCGGATCCCGGCGAACTGAGTCCCTCTCTCCAGGGAGGCTGTCTCCCCAAGCCTTCCCCAACCCGCCCGCGCTCCCCCCAGCTCCCTTTGTCTCTGCGCGGCGCCAATTACCAGTACATGTGACAACATGCTCTGCTCCGAGCACACGCAGCTGCGGAGCTCTGGGAACACGCATGTGGCTCTGCGTGTTCATTTGAACACAGGCAGGTCTGGCATGCCAGAGACTGACGGGGGCGAGATCCTGCTCTGGTGTAAATCTGGAGCGGCTCTGGCTTCCCACAGCACGGCTGGGCCATGCGCTGGGCATGGCTTTCACTGACATGGGCGCCTTGTGGCCTGGGCGGGGCATGGGAAATGGGTGCCAGCCCCTCGGGGAAGGCGTTGCACAGACAGTAAAAACACCCTGGTGCCAGGGAACCCCAGTGCAGGTGGGGGCTGGCCAGAGTCAGGGTGAGGGGCAGAGCCGTGGTACCATGCGCCTGGGGGGCAGGAAGGTGGCAAGATGGGGGATATGGTGATGGGGGCTCAGCCCCCAGCTCCTGCCTGCCGCTGCCCCCTGCATTCCTGCCTGGCTTGCGCCCAGCGTCTCCACAGGGCGACGTCACCGCTCAGTTGGGCCCAAAGAGAAACAGGCCAAGCCACAGAGCTGCATGTGGTTTCTGGAGGAAGCCCTGCTCCCGTCCCAGCGCCGTGGGGAGGGAGGAGGGGCGCTGGGGACGCGAGACTGGAGGGAGCCTGTCCTGCAGAGCCGAGCCTGGGCCCAGCGTCAGGAGGCTTGGGGGTCTTTCCTGCAGCCTTGTGCCAGGGCCAGAGAGTCTGGCCTGGGAGGGCGAGTTAATGGGGGGGCTTCCTTCCTGCGGGGCTTGTCTCCCCTGGAGAGGGTGCGGGAGACGGGATGGCTGCTTGTCCCTAATGTGTGTTTAACTCCAATGCCTTCGTTGGAGGCCAAGGCCTTAGCCGGAGCCGCCCCTCTGCGAGGGAGCGAGACTTGGCAGCACGCTCCAGGGCCGAAAACTAAAGGGCCCAGGGAGCATCGCTACCCCCGTGCCCCCACATGCCTCAGCACCTCCTCCTGGCACGTCTCCACAGGGCCCATCCCGGTGCCACTGCGGGACCAGAGGGGACACCTCAGGGCAGTGCGATGGCCCCAGAGTCCGGGCTCAATCCGCACCCGGATAACTCGTGCAGCTCCCCTGAATCCCGCTGCTGGCTTCCAGCGACGCACCCGCAGTCCCTGCCCTGTGGCCCTACTTGGCGCTTTGGGATCCTGCTGGGAGAGGCCAGGGCTGGAGTCGCCAGGGGTCCCCACCCCAGCCAGCGCTCCTGCCCCGCCCCCCACAGCGCCCCCTCCTGGGAGGTGACAGAATTGTTGCTGTAGGAGGTCCAGTCTCCTGTCCCTATGGCCTTCCCCAGAGCCACTCCCTGGATTAGCAGAGCTCAGCAGCCCAGCTCCTGTCCGGCGAGTGCCGTGAACTCCTCTGGGTTAAGCGGCTTGGAAAACAAGTCCAAAATCCACTGCCATTTCATAACCAGGGTCCTCCCACCTTCCCCTCCCCCGCTCACTAGCCCCCCCCGCCCCCGAAAACCCCAGCCAGTCACTCCGCAGAACTGCAACCTCGACATTTTCCGCTCGCAGAAATCCCACTGTCCTGGGGGAGGGGCAATTGGTGCTCCCTCCATGGGGGGGGGGGGATGACTCCCTGTGGGAGGGCAGTGGCAGCTGGGAGGGGCGGGTTAAAGGCAGCCTGGCAGCGCCTTGCTAGAGGTGCGGGTTAAAACAGGAATTGTTCTCTGGCAGCCAGACAGCTGCTGTTTCCCCCAAACACCCTGCGGTCCAGCGAGCTTTCGAACAGCGGGGGCTGGGAGGCAGGACTCCTGGGTTCTATTCCCACCTCTGTGGGGAGAGTGGAGTCCGGGGGGGGGGGGGAATAGAGAGGCAGGACTCCTGGGTTCTGGTTCTCACACTAACTTGCTGTGTGACCTTGGGCAAGCCACTTGCCTGCTCCATGCCTCAGTTTCCCCAGCTCCTGCTCCCTGTCGCGTGGGAACAGTGCCCAGAATGCAGGCTCAGTGGCTCTGTGACTCCCTGGAGAAGACCCAGGAGCTCACAGGCCTGGGCTCATGGCAGCGCCCGAGCCCCAGGCAATGCCAGCAACACCAGCTTTGCCTTGAGGTTCCTGGTCTCTCAACCCCACCAAGGGGGGAGAGGGGGGCAGAGAGCACCGCTGAGCGTCAGCTCCGAGCAAAGGGCTCCGGGAGAGTCTGTTCGGTCCCCCAAACCTCCTCACACACCCGCCCCATTGTGCCTCCCCCGCACAGCACCCCACCCCACCCTTCTCTGCCACCGCCCCACCCCACTGCACCGCCCCGCACAGCGCCCCACCCCCACCCTTCTGTCACTGCCCCATCCCACTGCCCCCCCCGCACTGTCCCCCACCCTTCTCTGCCACTGTGCAGCCCCCACCCCACTGCACCCCCCGCACAGCGCCCCACCCCCACCCTTCTGTCACCGCCCCATCCCACTGCCCCCCCCGCACTGTCCCCCACCCTTCTCTGCCACTGTGCAGCCCCCCACCCCACTGCACCCCCCCGCACAGTGCCCCACCCCCACCCTTCTCTGCCACTGTACAGCCCCCACCCCACTGCACCCCCCCGCACAGCGCCCCACCCCCACCCTTCTGTCACTGCCCCATCCCACTGCCCCCCCCGCACTGTCCCCCACCCTTCTCCGCCACTGTGCAGCCCCCCCGCACAGCGCCCCACCCCCACCCTTCTGTCACTGCCCCATCCCACTGCCCCCCCCGCACTGTCCCCCACCCCCACCCTTCTCTGCCACTGTGCAGCCCCCCACCCCACTGCACCCCCCGCACAGCGCCCCACCCCCACCCTTCTGTCACTGCCCCATCCCACTGCCCCCCCGCACTGTCCCCCACCCTTCTCCGCCACTGTGCAGCCCCCCCCCGCACAGCGCCCCACCCCCACCCTTCTGTCACTGCCCCATCCCACTGCCCCCCCCGCACTGTCCCCCACCCCCACCCTTCTCTGCCACTGTGCAGCCCCCACCCCACTGCACCCCCCCGCACGGCCCGGCCCGGCCCGGCCCGGCGCTCACCAGCCGGCGGAGGCGCGGCGGCCCGCGATGTCCTCCTTGGCGGCCAGCAGCGCCAGCCGGTGCGTGTCCAGGTCGGGCCGGCTCATGGCTCAGCCCCGCGCTCCCCGCTCTGCCGGGCCGGAAAGTTCCTGGCGAGGGAGCCCCGCGCCGGCCCCGCCTTGCCCGGCCCCGGTCCCAGCCCGCGGGGGGGGAGGGAGGGACCCGGGAGCCCTGCCCAGCTCCGGGGGCGGGGGGGGAGTTGGGCTAGTGGTTTGAGGGGGGCGGGGGCGGGGCGCCAGGACTCCTGGGTTCTCTCCCCAGCTCTGGGAGGGGAGTGGGGCACCAGAACTCCTGGGTTCTGTCCCCAGTAGTGTGAAGGGAGTGTGGGGCTCCTGGTAAGAGCCCGGGAGGGCTGGGAGCCAGGACTTCTGGATTCTGTTCATGACGCAGTGTAATGCCTTAGAGTGAGTCCCTCTCTCTCCTTGTGCCTCAGTTTCCCACTCTGTCCAGTGGGGATTCTGATCCAGGAGCTCCTGTGAGACTCAGTCAGTTGGGGCTTGTGCACCCAATGGACTTAGTCCAGAATAGCTGGTGCACTTTAAATTTGCACTCTACTTAATCCAAATTAACTCTGAAGTGTAGACAAGTCCTTAGTAGCCAGACAGAGCTTGGAGCTGCCCAGCACAGCATGTCCTTCTCTCTGTCCGATCCCACTGTGGCTCGCCCCCATTTGTCTCCAGCTGAAAATCTGTGGCAGACCCAGTTTATGTAGGGCCTGCGGAAACATGCAGGTGTTGCTGAAGCAGCCAGCAGGAGGTGCACCGGTGCTCGGGGCTGCCGGGGCGCTACCTGGGACGCCCCAAGTGGGGGCTGGGGGGCAGTGGCCGTGCAGAAGCAACATCTCTGGGGTTCGAGAGGATGCGTGGGCCGAGTGTGCGAGGTCCCCAGGCTGGGGGGCGAATGGTCCCATGACACGGGGAGCCGGGCTCTGATGGGGCCTGCTGCATTGCTTGGGCCCCGCGTTCTGTCCCCAGGGGCTGTCACTGTCCCAGGCAATGTGGACCTGGGAGGCAGCTCCCCAACGGCTCCATATCCCATCCTGGGAGCCCATCAGGCTGAAGGGGGCAGCGCTGCCCCCCTCCCCCTTTGGAATCTGGCGTTTGCTCAGCCCTTGGCCCCGGGGCAGCTGGCAGAGGCCGCAGCAGCGAGCGGCCTGTTCCCTTATTTGGTCAATGAAACCACCAACGAAAACCCCAAAGCCCCAGGAAAATATTCGCAGAGCCAGGACTGGCCAGCTGGAAAAATGCAGGGGCTGTACCCTCTGTGCACAGCTCCCAGCAGCTGGGATGAGACCCATCCCGGCCGTACCCGGGCACGCAGGGGGAGTGGCTGGGGCTGCCTCCCCCCAACAAACCACCGGGCCATACAGTCCTGCTCCATCTCAGCCGAGCCTGGCCCAGCAGCCCAGCTCCTTCCACGCTTCTCTGTACAACCTGGCATCCCCACCCCCAGCCCTGGACCGGACCCATGGGCCCATCGAGCTCAGTAATCCTCTCCCCAACCTGGGCCAGACCCAGGAGCCCATCTACCCCGGTATCCTGCCTCGTTCGAAGGCTCCCTCCCCTGCCACTGGCCAGTTGCCCAGGGCTGATCTCGGTGGGCGGGCAGGCCGTCTCCAGCATCCGCTCTCAGGCCCTTGCTGTGCGGGTGTCAGGGTTCGGCTCATGGGTGTCTCCGGCATGCTGTCCGACTGGCCTGTTCCCACGCACACCCCGCTCCACTGTGCCAGGAGCCCAGGGAGGATGCTGCTCCCCACTGCCTCCTGCGGGCTGGTGAGATGGCGGGGCTGGGCCCAGCAGGGGTGGGAGAAACAAGAGGTCCCAGATCCTTGGCACCCCCACCTTCCATCCCGAGTGCCCACAGATGATCCTGTGCAGTTCCATATACACACCATCCTCTATCCCTGCACACAGCCCCCGATCCCGCAGTCCCCAGCCCCCATCTCAGCACAGCACCCCAGCCCCCAGCCCTTTTCCCCATCTCAGCACACAGCCCCCCAGACCCAGCCCCCATTCAGCACACAGCTCCCCAGCCCCAGCCCCCATCTCAGCACCCAGCCCCCCAACCGCCAGCCCTTTCCCCATCTCAGCACACAGCCCCCCAACTCCCAGCCCCCATCTCAGCACACAGCCCCCCAGACCCCATCTCAGTACACAGCCCCCCAACTCCCAGCCACCATCTCAGCACACAGCCCCCCAGACCCAGCCCCCATTCAGCACACAGCTCCCCAGCCCCAGCCCCCATCTCAGCACCCAGCCCCCCAACCGCCAGCCCTTTCCCCATCTCAGCACACAGCTCCCCAACTCCCAGCCCCCATCTCAGCACACAGCCCCCCAGACCCAGCCCCCATCTCAGCACCCAGCCCCCATCTAAGCACAGCCCCCCAGCCCCCAGCCCTTTCCCCATCTCAGCACACAGCCCCCCAACTCCCAGCCCCCATCTCAGCACACAGCCCTCCAGACCCAGACCCCATCTCAGCACACAGCTCCCCAGACCCAGCCCCCATCTCAGCACACAGCCCCCCAACTCCAATGCACCTCTCATCTGAGTACCCCCGAACTCCATGCACTCATTCCCCCTCCTCCAAGCACCCAGCCCCCACCTCCTCCCATCTTCAGGCAGCCGGGCCCCAGTGCTGACCCTCGTCCTTCAGTTCCATACATTTCCCTTTGACGCCACCTTGTGGGCACAGCCTGCCTCCTGCGGGCCAAACTGCAGCCTGCCCCTGGGAGTCGGGGCTCCGGTGCGCAGGGCTGGGGGGCTGGCACACCCAGGTGCGGGGTGGGTGGAGGACAGTTCTCTGGTTCCCAGGCCTCCTCCTCCGAGCACCCAGCACCCCGAACCCCCTGCACCCCCAGGCCTCCTCCTCCGAGCACCCAGCACCCCGAACCCCCTGCACCCCCAGGCCTCCTCCTCCGAGCACCCAGCACCCCGAACCCCCTGAACCCCCAGGCCTCCTCCTCCGAGCACCCAGCACCCCGAACCCCCTGCACCCCCAGGCTTCCTCCTCCGAGCACCCAGCACCCCGAACCCCCTGCTCCCCCAGGCCTCCTCCTCCAAGCACCCTGAACCCCCTGCACTCCCAGGCCTCCTCCTCTGAGCACCCAGCACCCTGAACCCCCTGCACCCCCAGGCCTCCTCCTCCAAGCACCCCGAACCCCCAGGCCTCCTCATAGAATCATAGAATATCAGGGTTGGAAGGGACCCCAGAAGGTCATCTAGTCCAACCCCCTGCTCAAAGCAGGACCAATTCCCAGTTAAATCATCCCAGCCAGGGCTTTGTCAAGCCTCCTCCAAGCACCCCGCACCTCCTGCACCCCCAGGCCTCCTCCTCCGAGCACCCAGCACCCCGCACCCCCTGCACCCCCAGGCCTCCTCCTCCCAGCACCCCGAACCCCCTGCCCCCCCAGGCCTCCTCCTCTGAGCTCCCCACCCCACGGATGGGGCAGGGAGGAGGGTGCTGTCCCTGCTGCTCGGCTGGGTGGAGGGGAGCTCAGAGCACCTCTGCGCAGCCAGCCCCAAGGCAGTGATCCAGGGCAGGCCCCTCAGTGGTCGGCATTCAGGTGCCTCCTGGCCCAGGGGTGGGCAGTAACCCAGGGGCAGTAACCCAGATTGAGGAGGAGGGGCACTAGTCCCTGCATGCCTTTGGCATGGGGGAGCAGGGCCCGCAATGATCGGGGGCAGGTCCCTGCCCCCACTGTCCCAGGGACATGCCCCAGAGATCCTAGGACAGGCTTGGATAGGTCAGTGAGAGCTCATGGCCAGACGGGACTGTTAGCTGATCCCGTCTGACCTGCTGCCCAGAGAACGGCCCCTGTTCCCCGGGAGCCCAATAACTGGGGTTGGAGAAGTCAGCTAGGGCCACATTGTTACACTTGATCTGGACCCAGACCCCCCCGACCTGAGCCCGGGAACCCTGTCATTTTCCAACCCGACGCTGACCCTTTCCTACAAACCTGAGTCCGTGTCGCTGCCCCCTGTCCTGGGGTGGGCTCCTCCTGCCCACGGGGTGGGCACCGGCATGGGTGGCTGTGTGCCCACTCCTGCTGTGTGCGCTGCCCAGCGAGGGCCGCTGCGACTCACTCACTCCGCAGCGCACCCAGTGCAGGGAGGCGGCCAGCAGGAGCGGGACACACAGCCACGGCCACTGCTTCAGCCCCACCCTGCCTGAGCCCCTGGGGCTGGGCGTTTCCTGACCTGGCCCAAACCCAAGGCTTGTGTTGGGTCCCATCGGGGCTGGGCTGGGCTGGGTTGCAGGGCCCTACTGTCTTGTGCTCAAACGTCTTCAGAAAGGCAGCCAGCTGGACTTGGAGACGTCAAGGGATGGAGACTTGCCCACTGGCCTCGGGAGTTGTTGCAAAGGCTGATCACCTGCACTGTGAAAAAAAGGGGGCCTTCGTTCGAATTGGAATGTGTCTGGTTTTGACTTCCAGCCACTGGCTCGTGTTCGGCCTCTCTCCGCTAGGCTCCAGAGCCCGTCAGTCCCTGGGGATTTTCTCCCCAGGGAGGTATCTACCCATGTGATCACGTCACCCCTCAATCTTCCTTCTGCTAAACTAACCAGGTTGCCTTCCACCTCCCACCGTCACACGTTTTCTCCAGCCCTTGAATCCTTCGGTGGCTCCTTTCTGCCCCGCTACAATTTTCCAAAATCTTTAAAAAATGTTGGCACCAGAACTGGACGCAGGATCCAGTGTTGGTCTCCCCTCTGCCGTATGCAGGGGGAAAAGCATCTCCCTGCCCCTGCCCACTACGCCCATTGATAGCTCCCAGCAGCGCCCTGGCAGCTCATGGTCAGACGCTTCTCCACTACCACCCCTAGGATCTTTGTCCAGGATCCAGCCTCGATTCTGTAGCTATGGCCTGCAGTCCTTGATCCTCCACCACAAAATGGCTGGAAATCTAGCCCAGGCCCCTGGCTGCGGCAGGACCAAGTAAATCCAGAGGGCCCCTGATGCGGGTTTGTCCCACCTGTTGTTAAAAACCTCCAGTGATGGGATTCCACAAGCTCCTCCAGACACCTGTTCCAGAGCTTAGCTCCCCCGAGAGTTCAGATGGTTTTTCTTCTCATCTAACCTGAATCTCTCTGTAGTGCAAATGAACCCGACTACGTCTTGTCCTACCCGTGGTGGACATGGG